AATTATTCCCAATCTTTTTTTGGATCATTATATAAAATACTATCGGTAATAGTGTTAATTTCTGATTGAAATTGATTTGAACCGATAATAGGGTCAAGCTGACTAGGAGTAGGTAGGCTTTTCCCTTCGGCCAAAGCTTTCAAACGGAGATATCTCACTCTATCTTGAGGGTGTTTCAATATGTGTCTAGCCAAAGTTCTCGTCCCCACCCCCACCCCTGCGATCCAAAATATTTAAAAGCTAACTCTGTGCCACAAGTTTTACACTTAGCCTTATTTTCTGGAATTAGTTGAGTAAAAAATGGCCAAACGAGAGATGTTTCCGTCCGTTTGCTAGGTTGTCTAGAAAAAGTAGGGGTAGTAACATGAGTGTCAGATGGGGCATCATTTGGATTAGCAGGGTTATCACTAGTTGGGTTAACATCAGGAGCAGGACTAGTGGGTGTATCATTGTCACGACCCAAAATCCAACTAGTCGTGATGGCACCTAACCCAACCCGTTAGGTAAGCCAACTATTCACTATCCAATTCCAATGTAATTTAACAAGACAATTATTAAAGAAAATATATTAAACCATTACATTTTCCCAAGAACTGGTAGTACAAATCATGAACTTCTAAGAATAGAGTATACAAAGTTAGTATGAAATAATACATCATCTATTTGAAAAGTACATAAACAGAGTTTTCATGAATCTAAGGCTACTATGAACAAGAGGCAGCAACAACCGGAACGCATGTACGTCTTCAAATCCGGCAACCATCGAACACAACAACAACGACAACCAATATTTGCACGCAATGTGCAGAAGTGTAGTATCAGTACAACCGACCCCATGTATTGAGTAAGTAAAAGATCTAACCTTAGGTTGAAAGTAGTGACGAGCTTGTACCAAGGTCAAAGTCCAACCTCCATAACCAATAATAGTTCATAACAATATAAAATAAATAATACCAGAAGTAACTCAAAGAATAAATTTTCAGCTAAATCGTGACTTCTGAAAATAGTTTTGCCTTTCAAGTACATTGGTGAAAACCCAAATCGTTTACCGAAGTTACCAAAAATATGAATAAGTTTGAAAACAGTAATTTATTTCCAAAATCCTTTCAATAATAAATAAAATGTCTCATTTTCTTTCGAGATAGTCAATGTAAAATAAATGTATCACTATGCCCATCTGTCAACATGTGTGAGAAATCATGAATAATGTGATACTGTACAACATGAGGAAAACACATCTCTATGCGTGTATGTCATGTGTGCATGTCTATGCAATGTATCTCAAAGATTGTACTCATGTACTCACATTCTCAGAGTACTCAATCTCACTATCTCGCATTCTCTCTCACTATGTTCAGCACACTCAATCACTCAGTGTTATATAATACCTGATGCGGCGTATAACCCGATCCCTATTTATAGTTGACTACGCTCACCGGGGGTATGTACAAACTCATGAAGGAATCCTATAGCCCAAGCGCTATAAGCACGGACAACTCACGTGCTATAATATCATATCTGGATCAGCACGGACAACTCACGTGCTATAATATCATATCTGGATCCGAACGGCCAACTCACGTGCTATAATATCATATCTGGATCCACACAGTCAACTCACGTGCAATAGTATAATATATAGATCCGCACGGCCAACTCATGTGCAATAGTATGATATATATAAAGCCAACATGGCCTGCTGCGGCGTGCATCTCGATCCCAAAAATATCCTCACAATCTGGCCCTCGGCCTCCCTCAGTCATCAATCTCTCCAGTCTCTCTCTTTCATGGGCTCACAATGTCATGAGAATAGCCCAAAATGATGATATGATGTATCAATAAATAACAACAAATATTGAGATATGATATGCAAAGAAATGAATATAACCGAGTATAAATTTTCAATTTAAAATAAATATTTCATATCAATATGACCTATGTGGGTCCAAATAATACTGGCACATAGCCTCAACATGATTTTTAATATGCTTTTCAGCTCAATTTCTTTAACACATAAAACTGCATGGAAAATGCCAAGATTATTTAACTACAAAATTCCATAGAAATAATTATGTCACAATTTCTATAGTGCACGCCCACACGCCCGTCACCTAGCATGTTTGTCACCTCCCAACGATATACATAATACATATATTGAGGGTTCATACCCTCATCTCCAAGATTAGAAGAGTTACTTACCTCGAACAAGCCAAATCCAATGTCGAGCAAGCTAAGCAATGCTCCAGCAATTCCATTCTGCGTGTATCAACTTCTAAACGACTCGAATCTAGTCACAATTAATTTTATTCAATCCACAAAATTTATAGGAATTAATTCCATATCAAAATACTAATATTTCCACAAATCCGAAATTTCACCCCAAAAATCACCCGTGGGGCCCACGTCTCGAAATCCGACGAAAGTTACAAATTATTAACGCCCATCCAACCATGAGTCCAACCATATAAATTTTACCAAATTCGTACATCAACTCGACCCCTCAAATCTTCAATTGAAGTCTTTGAAGATTTCTACCATTTTCAACCTAATCTTTACCCATTGGAACTCAAGACTCTTTCCATAAACCTTATTGATACGTATAAATAATACTCTTACACCCAAGAATCATACTCTTAATCACCCATCATTACCCAAACTCGAAATTGAAGATTATGTGTTAGAACCTTACCTCTTTGATGAAGAACTTGAGGGATTTATCGTTGGATTTCAAGGTTTGGACAAGAATTTGATGAACAAGACACTTCATCTACTTCCTCTCTCTAGAACACTCTCACTTCTCTCTAAAATCATCAGATAATTGCCCCAAAATAAGTTCCAAAGCCTATTTATCAAAATGAGGTCGGGTTATGAAAATAGAAAATTTAACCCTCCGAAAGCAGGTCTACGGTCGCATAATGGACCGCAGAATGGGTATACGGGCCGCAAAAGTGATCGAAAAACCGGTGCCCAGAACTAGACTCTTCTGGTCCATTCTACGACCAGTTTGCGGTCGCAGGAACAGTTTTGCGATCGCATAACTGTTTTGTGATCGCATAATTGGTCGCAGAATTGTATTTTTCTAGCATTTGGTAATTTGGTCATAACGTCTTGTAGGAATGTCCAAATGACGAACGGTTTGAAGCGTTAGAAACTAGAATCAAAGATATTTCATTTGATAGGTAATACACCATATAAAACTTCGTGTCCCGATAGATATGCTCATTTGAAGTTAGATCTTGTGCAAACTCACTTGAAACTTTAGTCCTATGAAATTTCTAACTTCTACATTCGATGCCGAAACCTATCGAATCAAGTCCGATTGACCTCAAATTTTGCACACAAGTCATAAATGATATAGTGAAGCTATTCCAATTTTCATAATCAGATTCCGACCTCGATATCAAAAAGTCACCCCCGGTCAAACTTCCCAAAAATTCAACTTTCGGCATTTCAAGCCTAATTCCACTGCGGACCTCCAATAATTTTTCGAACACGCTCCTAAATCCAAAATCACCATACGGAGCTATTAGAATCATCAAAACTTCATTCCGGAATCGTTTACACATAAGTCGACGTCCGGTCACTATTTTAACTTAACTTTCCAATTATAAGACTAAGTGTCTCATTTCACTCAGAAATCTTTCCGAACCCGAACCAACTAACCCAATAAGTCATAAATCAATTGTAAGGCATAAATTGAGCAGTAAATGGGGGAACGGGGTTATGATTCTCAAAATGACCGGTCGGGTCGTTACAATCATCATCCGATTGAGTTTCATCAAAATTTATTTTCTCGTCATCATTTTCATCAATAGTTGGATTAGAATAAAGAGCATTCATTATTTCATGGTCTAATTGTTCATCAGCTCTAATATTATGGCAAAATTGACTCTCAGTAAATTGTAATAAACTATTATTGCTATCAAGAATAGCAGGTGTATGACGGATATTGGGTTTGGTTCGGGGCAGTGGAGGAGGAACAGATTAAGCACTAGATTCGCCATTCTTGGATTTTCCCTTATTTTTATCAAAATTTTTTTTTAAGGAAGCCATCTTAATTAGTAATAGAAAATAAATAAAAGAAACAAAACTATAATATTAAAACTTAAGAGTTGGAACGAGTTTACCGAATTGACGAACAACTTGTTGAAAATTGATTATCGTTGAAGATTTCAATTCACCAACTTCATAATATTTTCACAATTGTAACAATAAAGTAAGCAATAATAGCAATTATAGAAGAAAATTAGAGAGAGATTGATGATTTTGTAAGAAAAATGAAAGAATGAGGGGGTATTTATAGTTGAAAATAGGAAAAAAGTATAATTATAAAAAGTTTGGGGTTAAAACAAAGTTGGGGAGTTAAATGACTATTTTATAAATAGCCAACGACTATTTTTGACAGACAAATGACTTTTTTTTTAAATAAGTTTTTTTTTAAAAAGTTGACTGTTGGGACCGTTTGGCCCGCGAAGGTACCGGTCTGGTCTCTGGCGGGCCCAAAGCACAAGACCGACTCACAAGACTGGCCCAGACCTACTAAAATTGATCCTAACTATCCTGACCCATTTGGCCTATGGCCCCGGGCCTGCACCAACCCACTTGCGAGCCTTATATTAACATTTGAATCCTCTAGTTAGATGTGCTATAGGTGTTCAGTATACTACTTGCGTACAAGAGTTGTTCCCAACATTAACATAGTATTTACCTTATAAAGGAAAAAAATAATGCTTTTATTTCATGTTTGAATTTAAGCGAAAAAAGTAGAGGGATTAGAGCTGATCAGATCAGCTTCTTTTTTATTCGATTCTGCTAACTTATGGAAGAGGGATTAATTTATAGCACTAAACCCCGCCGGATTGGCATTTTTGAAGAAGAAAGGGGTTCTTAAGCCCGAAGGGCAATCACTCCGATCAAACCAAGATTTCATCATCAAATCTTTAAGAACTCAAAAACTACCAACCTTATGATTTTTCAAGATCGGTCTACAAGAGGTAATCCCACAATCCAAGCCTTGATAGTTGTGTATAAATACATTTGTAGGATGATGATGTTGGTGTAGAAAATGTAATTAATCATATCGTTGAGCAAACCCTAGAAACTAGTGTTCTTGCGGTGAAATAAATAGTTGGAGATTACAATGAATAGTAACTCTTGGATGAAATATGGGTTACTATTATTCCCAATAGTCTCGTTAGCTTGAGTTGAAGTTGTAATATGTAGAGAACATTATTCAAGTTAGAGTTAGTTTGAAAAGGTGAAGGGCTTAGAGTTAAGTTCTTCTTGCTTCAGTTCGAGTTGACTTGAAGGGATGCAACAGTCGAGTGATTGTTGGGGCAAGGCTTAGAGTTAGTCTTAGATAACATAGTTATAATTTGGATGCTCTTTGTTATAGTGGAATTGAGTTGAATATTGTAGTTTTTACACCTAATTCACCCTCGTCTTGTGTCGTATAGGTGCATAAGATAACACATGGAAATCATCAAATGTACTTTTGACTATTACTGGATAAATCTTTACTAGAGCAGGGCCTGTCCCTGCTTGTTTCAGTAGGTGGAGACCATTGCCATATTTAAGTTGCAACTTGCAATTTAATTAAGTTCTAGGAAACTACACAAAAAAATTAACAATTGTTTAAAAAGACAACCCATATTGTCTGTTATGTACTTTGTAGTTTGTACTACTATTTGTCATATTTTATTTTATCATGTGGAGTAATCAACTTGATTGAAAACTGCTATCTAGCTAAGTTCTAGGATGCTATGTCAGTAAAATTAACAATAATTTGGAAACAAATGGTTCCAAAAAAAAATTCATTTTTAAATTTGAAAATAATTTTGTTTAAAGTTAAATTTTATCATTAAGGGATAATCATAAATTCCAAAAGACTTATTTTTTCTCACATAAATTGAATCGAAAGGGAGAGAGTAGTAGTATTTAATAAATGACGACTTCAATTGATATACTTAGTAGTAGTTGTCAAACTAGTCAATCATTTTGAGGACCAACTTTCAGCAAATTTCTTCAATTGCAAATGTTGTATAGATCTCTGAAGAATCTTTGCAGAAGTAACAAGAGAAATGGCTGCTTATGCTGCAGTAACTTCTCTGATGGGAACTATACACCTAATTTCGCAATCCAACTTAGACCTACAGGACGGTCATAAAGATCACTTAAAATTACTCTACGAGAAGGTTAGCTCTCTGCTAGAGTTTCTTGATACTAATTCTGATGACGAACCAATGAAGGATTTGCAAGAAAAGGTAAAAGATCTTGCACATGAAGTAGAAGACAAAGTTGAATCACACATTCAAAGAGAGGCCCAGAAGAAGTTTCTTAAGATGTTGCAACGAGTATTTCACCTTCCAACAAAGGCACATGAAAGGCTTCTTAAGAATTTGCAACGAGATATAGAAGCCATTGATTCTATCAAGGAAGAGCTCTTCAAGCAGAGGGAGAATAATAATATGCAAGCGGGAAATAGTTCACTTGGTGGTTCTAATTCACTAGGATCTCATGTTTCTACCCTTGAGAACAACATGGTGGGGTACAATGATGAACAAGCGAGCATGTTGCGTCAACTTACTGGAGATTCACGTCAACTGGAAGTCATTTCCATTGTTGGTATGGGAGGTATAGGCAAGTCAACTTTTGCTAAAAGAGTGTTTTCTGATCCCTCAGTTGTGGGTTTCTTTGATGTTCGTGGATGGATTACTATGTCCAAGGACTACAGTATAAGAAAGATGCTTCTATCCCTCCTTCAAGATGCCGGGGTGGATCTTGATAAGGTAAGCGATGAAGAACAAGCAGACCACTTGGAGGAAAGCGATGAAGAAACAGTAGATCACTTGCAGAAAATCAATAATGCACTTGCAGATCGCTTGCAAAAAAGTTTAAAAGGTAGGAGATATTTGATTGTTGTAGATGACATATGGAGCACGGATGCCTGGGATGAGATTAAACTATGGTTTCCAGAATACAATAATAGAAGTCGGATATTATTGACTACTCGAGACATGAAGGTTGCTCAATATGCTAGCTTTCCTGAGGATCCTTTTCCGATGCGTTTCCTGGATCCAGAGGAAAGTTGGAATTTGTTTTGCCAAAAGGCATTTGACAAAAAAACTTGCCCGATTGAACTTAAGAATGTTGCAAACGAAGTTGTAGAAAACTGCAAAGGATTACCACTAATGATTTCTGTAATTGCAGGGACTCTCTCTAGCAAGAGGACACTGGACGAGTGGAGGAAAGTAGCTAATAGTGTGAGCTCCTTAGTAAACCTTGACGATTATCAACGTTGCTCAGGAGTGCTCGCTTTGAGCTACAATCATCTTCCTTCACATTTGAAAGCCTGCTTTCTGTATTTTGGAGTTTTCCCGAAAGCTACTGACATTTCGGTGAAGAAGTTGATTAGATTATGGGTTGCGGAAGGACTCTTAGAGCTAAAGCGGCTTGAGGGATTGGAAAAAGTGGCTGCTTATCTTTTACATGATCTTATTGATAAAAGTCTAATCATTGTTAGCAGGCGAAGTTTTGATGGCAAAATCAAGACTTGTAGGATTCATGATCTTCTTCATGATCTATGCTGGAGAGAAGCTGAAAGTGATAGTATTTTGTACGTTGTAAATGACGTACCTTATGGAGGACCAAGAAGGTATTTTCCTCAAGGTCGTAGGTGGGTGTCACTTCATTTAGCGGGAGGTTATTATCCTACACTTTTCAGTGCTCTTAGTTATAGCAAAACGCGTTCTGTTCATTTTTATGCTGATCCCGTTTATAATTTACAACTGGAGCATTTCAAACTTCTTAGAGTATTGGACTTGGAGGCCACGGAATTCCAATATGGTTTCCCTAGGGAAATATTACGCCTAGTTTGTTTAAGGTATTTGGTTATGAAGATCGATGAGATCTCTGAACATATTCCAATTTCCAATCTTCAGAATTTACAGACTCTCGTTATATTTACTACATCACGGAAGGGGTTTATAAATTTACGTGACGGAATTTGGGACATGTCTCAATTAAGGCATCTCAATTGTTCAAGGATCTTTTTGTACCCTCCTCCGAATGTATCTCCTAATGAAGTTGAGTACCCAAGTTTGGAGAATTTGCAAAGTGTTTGTGGGTTGAGTTCTTCTTGTTGCACGAAAGAAATATTTAAAGGGATTAAGAAAGTGAAAAAAATGGGGATTTCTTGCGATAGTTATTCCGAGTCCGAATGGCTAGCTAATCTTAAATATTTACTTGAGCTTGAGGCACTAAGTATTGCATCGTCATCCTACTATGGTAATGTTTATTCAGATTTCAGGCTTCCATGTCCAGGTTCTTTCCCACCAAATCTCAAGAAGTTGACACTTTGTTGTACTCGGCTATCATGGGAGGACATGACGATCATTAGCAAGTTGCCCAAACTCGAGGTGCTCCAATTGAAGGAAGATGATTTTGCACGTAGTTTGTCTGTAGGAGAAAGGGTCTGGGAAGTAACAGAGATGGGATTTCCCGAATTGAAATTCTTGCTCCTTGAGAAGTTGATTCTTGATTATTGGAGAGCCACTGATGATTATTTCCCATGCCTTGAGCATGTAATTATCAAAAATTGCTCTCTCTTAAAAGAGATTCCTCAAGGATTCGCAGATAGTATGACACTGAAACTAATTATGTTACAGGGATGTTCTCCTTCCGTTGTGACATCTGCTGAGTGGATCCAGAGAGAGCAATTAGAGAGTTCAGGAACCGACATGCTTAGAGTTTATGCCGTTGATACAAGGGGTAAGTAAAATAATCTACTATGAAATTTCAACATCCATTATATGTTTGGCTAATCTATGAACTGTGTTAAACCATTAGATGAGAATTTTCAAGTGGAGGGTCATACTCTGAGTATAATAAGATATGCAACTCACAAAGTTCATAAGGTCTATTACATCTCAGAATTGGTATTGAACTCGTTCGTTTATATTTTCATTTTGGAAAGCATGAATCATTGGCCAAATAGAAAAGGACGCAACCCGGAAGTGCAGACTAAGAAATGGCTAGTAAAGTTCAAGATCTACTTATGTAAGAGAAGCAATGTGTGGGAAGTAATTCTTTAAGGACAAATACTTTTGTCAAAACATTTGTACTGTTAATGTGAAACAAATATTATTCTTCACCTTTAATAAAGTAGAAATGAGATAATTCATTTTTGTTATATTAACTTTCAAGGGCTTTTCACAATTGTAACTTAGTGTTTGAGTGTACTTCTTCAGTCAAATAGTGTGTAGTTGAGGTCTGAATTGGCAAATAAGGAGAACAAAAAAGAAATTGGCTCCTTGCATCTGTCATAAGCAGCGGATGTGTTTTAAACAATGGCTGTGTGTGTGAAGTTAGATATGTTAAATTAAATTTGTGAAATATGTGTTGTATTGAATTTCCTATTCTAATGATCGATTACTCTATCACTTTACACTTAACTGAAGATTCACTTGTAATGGCAATTGTACACAGATTCAGATCAAGATTATTGAGAAGCAACACAGGACGATACAGACAAGATTTGGAGACAGATTCCAATGAAGAAAGGGGAAGACGAGATTGTTGCTTTTGTGCATAGTTGTAGGAATTCTACTCTCTGATGTTGAAACTGAAGTAAGGTTGAGGATGCATGTCCAAATTAGACCTTTTCTTGAACTGTAAATTCTTCCGGTTGGTAATAAAAATTTAACTACCAAAAAAACGCGTTGCAAATAAATGTTATGAGCTGCTATGGAATTTGCAGATGGTACCAAACTGCAGCTCAATGAGTTACATAAATTTTATCTAACTTTTTCCGATTTTTGCCAACAAATCTAACGAGAGCAAAAGATGACAACTTGTGTAACTTTGCTTGTTACATGCTTGGTTTTTCTTTTGTTATCGCAACGTTTCTTGTTTCTAGTGATAGACGTGGTGGTGATTTTATTCTCAAAGTTTCTCAATTAAATAAACGTTAATCTGAGTGCGATGACAGTATACCGAAAGCATGGCTTTTCTTTTTCTTTTTTTAAATGAGAAAGGTAAATATTTACCATCTGGCTAGATAAAATTCATCCACTGTTTATCAGAGGCCTCAAGTTCAAGGGGCGGAAATGAAGCAACTCCTAGTAAGGAGCACTTCCCCATTTAATGGATCCTAAACGGCGCGAATCCGAACTACTCAGGCGAGTGAGATTCAAATACCGTATGTTTAAACAAAAAAATAAAATTTAAATACATATCTAGACAAGCAAACTTTGAATATAAAATCCCATAGCATTATTATTACAGCAACTCTATGTATTCTGTTTATTTTTCTATTGATAAGTTTTGAGAATAAAATCATCACTACTTTCAGTAGAAACAAGAACTCGGAGAAAAAACAAGCATAACACGAGTTACAAAAGCATTGCCAGCTCTTGCTCGCCCTCGTTGAATTTGTAGGGGGGGAGATAACAGTTATGTAACTCAAGGAGTTTGATACTATCTGCAAATTCCTTAGCAATCCCTTTAAGAAAAACAAACACATTTCCTCATAAGTATACCTCACGACCAATTTGCTCATCTTCCTCTATTTCTTGACATCTTGTTTTGAAATCTTCTAAATATCTTCCTCTGCTGTCTCCTCATAACCTACCTCTGAGTCTGACTCTGTACAATGACCAATATAAGTGAAGCAGCTTCAGTAAGTATATTGAAAAGAGTGAGAGATAGAGTTATGCTTGCTTTGAGCCGAGCGGTTATCGGAAACAACCTAAGGAGTAAGGCTACGTACTCACTATCGTCCCTAGACCCCTCTTGTGGGATTACATTGGGTATGTAGCTGTTGTTGTTGTTGAGAGATAGAGTTAAAAACTCAATGTAACGCCTATTCACATTCCATAAAAGATTTAACTAGATCATCGTTGTTCAAAAACATTCCTTCACATACCAATGATGCAAGGGACCAATTTTTTCTCTTCCCAACACTTCATATGCCACTCTTCAAAAGGTTTGTTGTTTCTGACAGGTTTTCTACAACATATCTCAAACATCTGAAAGCCGTCATGTTTATGATATACAACTACACTTTCTTATTACGCTAGAACAATTTATTTAAAGTTACGAACAAAAGGTCAGTATCACAGTTAACAGGAGAATACTCATCAGTGTTGAAAGTTCAGTGCAGACTATTTTACTTACCTTTTGTATCGAAGACACAAACTTTAAGGATGTTGTTTCCAATTTCCTCCTCTTGCTTTTTTTGGATTTTCTCAGCTAAAGTCACAAGGGAAGGAGAGCATCGACGTAACTCTATTTGCTGCAGTGTTGTACTATCTGCAAATCCTTGAGGAATCTCTTTTAAGTACGTGCAATTTCTGATAATTATGCGCTCAAGGCATGGAAAATAATCATCATCAGCTACCCAATAACCAAGATCCAACTCCTCAAGGAGCAAGAATTTCAATTTAGGAAATCCCTCCTTTGTTACTTCCCAAACTGTATTTCCTGCAAAGGCGTCTTCTTTCAATTGGAGCACCTCGAGTTCAGGCAACTCGCTAATGATTGTCATGTCCTCCCATGATAGCCAAGTGCGGCGAAGTGTCAACTTCTTGAGATTTGGTGGGAAAGAATCCAGATGTGGAAGCCTAAGAAACAAACCATCTGGTTGACGGCTGTATGATACAATACTTAGCGCCTCAAGCTCATGTAAATATATTAGATTATCTAGGCATCTAGGCTCACTATGAAATTCGTTTTCAGAGCCAGAAATGCCCAAATTCTTCACCTTTTTAATCGCTTCAAATATTTCTTCCGTGCAACAACGAGGACTCAACCCGGAAACACTTTGCAAGTTTTCCAAAACGCGGTAGCTAACTTCATTAGCCGATACCATTGGAGGAGAATACAGATACATCATTGTAGAATAGAGATGCCTCAGTTGAGACATTTCCCAAATTCCAATTGGTAAATCTATGGTCCCGCTGAGTTCTGGAACATATTGAGGGAAAATAAAAGTTTGTAGATTCAAAAGATTGGAAATTGTCATATCTTTTGGGATACTAGAAACCATCACTGCCAAGTACCTCAAAGAAACTAGGTGTAATATTTCACTAGGGAATAAACCAAATCTCATTGTCTCCAAATCCAATACTCTTAGAAGTTTGAAATGGACTAGTCCTAAATCATGACGCTGCACTATTTCGTTGGAAGAATGATGAAGAGAACGTGTTTTTCTATGTGTAAGATCATCAAAAAGAATGGTAGGATTTGAGTGATCATCAAAAAGAATGGGAGGAAACTGACCATAATCTGGATGAACTGACACCCAGCGACGACCTTGAGGGATTTCTGAAACCATTCTATGTTCTTGAGAAAGCATGGAATTTGCAACATACAAAATTTTCTCTTCTTCTGCTTCTCTCAAGCAGAAATCATGGAGAAGATCATGAATCCTAAATGTCTTGATTTTTCCATCCAAACTTCGCTTGCTAACAACAACTAGACTTTTATCAATGAACTCCTGTAAAAGATTTGCAGCCACTTTTTCCAATACCTCAACCCCCTTTAGCTCTAAGAGCCCTTCCGCGACCCATAATCTAATCAACTTCTTCACAGGAATCTCCCTAGCTTTTGGGAAAACTCCAAAATACAGAAAGCAAGCTTTCACATTTGATGGAAGATGATTATAGCTTAAAGCGAGCACTCCTGAGCAACGTTGATAATCATCAAGGTCTGCAAAAGAGCTCACACTTTCAGCTACTTCCTCCCACTCGTTCAGTGTCTTCTTGCTAAAGAGAGTCCCTGCAACCACAGAAATCATTAGTGGAAATCCTTCGCAATTTCTTACCACTTCCTTCGCTACATCCTCAAACTCAAGCGGGCAAACTTTTTGGGCAAACGCCTTTTGGCAAAAAAGGTTCCAACTTTCCTTTGGCTCTAGGAAACGCATTGGAAAAGGATCCTTAGGAGAGCTAGCATATCTAGCAACTTTCATGTCACGAGTAGTCAACAATATTCGACTTGTATTACTGTTTTCTGGAAACCATTGTCTAATATCATCCCAGGCTTCTATGCTCCATATGTCATCCACAACAATCAAATACCTCCTACTATTTAACCTTTTTTTCAAAAGACCTGCTAGATCTCCATCGCTTACGTTATCAAGATTCTCTTTCACCGCAGTGGCATCTTGAAGGAGGGATAGAAGCATCTTTCTTACACTGTAGTCCCTGGACACAGTAATCCATCCACGAACATCAAAGAATTCCAGAATTGAGGGATCAGAAAACATCTTTTTGGCAAAAGTTGACTTGCCTATACCTCCCATTCCAGCAATGGAGATGACTTCCAGTTGAGATGAGTGTCCTGTAAGCTTACCACGCATGCTCTCTTGTTCATCTTTGTACCCCACCATGTCAGTCTCAAGGTTTATGCTCAAAATTTGAGCTACTTCCCTCCACTCATCCACTGTCCTCTTGCTAGAGAGAATACCTGCAACCAGAGAAATCGCAAGTGGTAATCCTTTGCAATGTTCTGCAATTTCCTTTGCAACATTCTCAAATTCAGTTGGACAATCTTTATTGCCAAACACCTTTTGGCAAAACAAACTCAATCTTTCCTTCGGATTCAGGAGACGCATTTGAAACAGATCCTTAGGAGAGCTAGCATATTGAGCAACCTTCATGTCTCGAGTAGTCAACAATATCCGACTTCTATTATTGTTTTCTGGAAAACATAATCTAACATCATCCCAGGCTTCCCTACTCCATATATCATCCACAACAATCAAATACCTTCTACCCTTTAAACTTTTTTGCAAGCGATCTGCTAGCTCTCCATCGCTTTTCTCATCAAGCTCTTTGGCCACCCCAACAGTGTCTTGAAGGAGGGTTAGAAGCANCTTGGCCATTAAATGTTTTCGCAAGCGCTCAGCTAGTTCTCCATCACTTCTCTTATCGAGCTCTTTTGTCATCCCAATAGCATCTCGAAGAAGGTATAGAAGCATGTTTCTTATACTGTAGTCCTTGGACACAGTAATCCATCCACGAACATCATAGAAGCTAGCAATTGATGGATCCGAATACATCTTTCTGGCAAAAGTTGACTTACCTATGCCGCTCATCCCAACAATAGAGATGACTTCCAGTTCAGATGAGCCTCTCGTAAGTTGATCCCGCATTCGCTCTTCTTCAATAGAGATAACATCGTTCTCAAGGGCTGAAACATGCGATAGTGGTGAGCTAGAACCACCAACTGAATGATTTCCAGCTTGCAAATTGTTATTCTTCCTCTGCTTGATGAGCTCTTCCTTCACAGAATCGATGTCTTCTATAACTTGTTGCAAGTTCTCAAGAAGCCTCTCATTCGCCTCTATTTGAACGTCTTCATCCTCCTCCATAACCAGTCGTAGTTGTGATTCAACTTCGTCTTCTGCTTCATGTGTTAGATCTATAACCTTTTTTCGCAAATCCTTCATTGGTTTGTCATCAGAATTAGTGTCAAGAAGCTCTTGCAGAGAGCCAACCTTGTCGTAGAGTAATTTCAAGTGTTCTCTGTGACCCTCCTGAAGGTCTGAGGTGGATTGTGAAATCAGTTGTATTGTTCCCATCAGAGAAGTTACTGCAGCATAAACTGTAGCCATCTCTCTCTGCAAAAAAAACTTCAGCGATTCCTTTGCAACTTGCTAAGAAAATTGCAACCGTCTAAAACTGGTTTTGGTTTTAGTAACTTGTTGCAACATGCAACTTGAAATTTTCTTTGTTTCTCCCGTTATTATAATAAGTTGTTATTGCAACTTGTTTCTATCTTTTCCTTTCCTTTTTTAATTTCTTTTTATTTGATCAGGTCCCACATAGATTATATCACTGTCAATATAGAGGGTCATTTTTAAACAATTGTTAATTTTAGTGAAGTACCCTAGAGCTTAAATAAATTGCAAGTTGCTATTTAAATATGGTAATTGTCTTCCACAACTGACATATATATATATNTTACTTGTACCAATTAGTTAGCATTAATTAAGAGGCATATGAGAACTAGATAGACACTTTAATTACGATTCATGAGTTAGTGAGCGGACATAAGAATTGTGAAATTTTGGAAAAAAAATGAAAAATTTTTTCAATTGAAAATGATATTTAAAAATTAGAGTTGTATTTGGATATGATTACAATTTGGAGTTGTTTTTGAACTTTTGTGAGTGATTTGAAGTGAAAATTTTGAAAAAAGCCTTTTGGAGTTTTTAAAATTTCAAAATTCAACTTCTAAGTAAAATTTAAAATTTTCATGGTCAAATACTGATTTCGGAGAAAAAGTGATTTTCTTTTTTATGGCCAAGAAGGCCTTTAGATTGCAATGATATTTTTCAAGTTTAGTTAAGCTGGAGAATCAACTAGCCTGTTCTTATTAACTTTGCTTGCCCTGACACAGCCACTCAAGCTTCAGCAGATTGAATGCTTTATATAAACAAGGGAAAAGGCTCAAAATTGCCCCCGTGAGATCCGAAATGGCTTATTTGTACCCTCCGTTTGAAAATGAGGTCACGTGTAACCTTACCGTTAAACAAATGGTTCACTGGTACCCTTTTATACTAACAGCTCCGTTTTGGACCTTTTATTTTCTCGAAAAATCTGCAGCACAACACGTGTCCTCCTAAACTACCCTCCTTAATTTTTTTACCTGCCCCCACTTGTTTTACTTACCTTCCCCACTCCTTCGACACGAGATGGGTCATTGTCATTACCCATTTCGTTCCTCCTTGCCTCTCACCATTCTAAGAATCTAGAAAGTTAAAAAGTAGTATACATATTATAAAATTTACCCAATAAAAAAAATATCTGATCGACATGCAGATAGTGATTACGTTGTTCTCAATTTTGCATTTAACGCAGCGGAAGTCTTCGACATGACAAGGAATGGTGTGATAGTACGCTTTGATTCTAGAAGCCAAATCCAACACCGCTAGCGGCCACCCTTCTCCGCCTTACGTCAATTATGCCCAGTTGAATTATGTTACATGCAATTTCATTTGCAAATATTTAGGTCTCATTTATTATCAAGATAAAGTAACTCTGCTCCGACAAAGATGAGAGACTAATGAATGATAATTTTTGTGGTGAAAGTGTTGGGGAAGGTGGATAAAATAAGTGAGGGGGCAAGTAAAAAAAATTAAGAAGGGTGGTTTAGTGTCGTGCTGTAGATATTTTGAGGAAAAAATAGGCCAAAACGGAATCATTAGTAGAAAAGGGTGTCAGTGGGCCACTTGTTTAACGACAAGGTTATACATGATCTCATTTTCAAACGAAGGGTACAGATAAGCCATTTCGAAGAAAACGAGGGCAATTTTAAGCCTTTTCCCTATAAATAATGTTATTAAGAAAAAAGAGAAAACAATCTTATTAAGGCTCACGAATTTTTCTATTAAGTCTCAACAACTTGAGCATTGAAATAGTAAAGTTAAATAATTGTATTTAATAAGTGAGTCGTTGAGCATCTTCGCGGGTCATTTTGGGCTGTTTTTTCGTGCAGAAAGTTGGCACTCAAAAACATCAGACATTTTTGATAAAGACTACTAAGTATACCAAGGTCAGCAGATCAGGTTGTCATATTTGGGAAAAAAACATTGGTTGTTCCTATCAGTCACTCCAACTAAATTGTACTGTTCATCCATATAAATGAAACAAAGAAAAGACAGAATACAAAAGTAGGCCCTTAAACTTGGTCTTTTTTGTCATTTGGACACCTAAATATTAGGTTGTTCATATCAGACACTCCAACTAAACTCATCTGTGCCAATTAAACACTATCTAGATTGTCCGCGAAAAACTTTTAAAAAAATTAAGTGCGTGTATTACAATTTCCTCTTAACACCCTAAATTTAACAACAAATTGTTCGACATAATTAAAACCTTTCACTTAATAAATTTAACCCCCAAAACAAATTGAAACTCATATCATAAAATGGAAAACTCGATTATCCCAACCTATCCCTCTCTTCTTCAAACTTTTTTACTCTGCTCAATAAACCAGAAATTACTCTCATATGTTTCTTAAGAATTTCATTGTCATACCACCAGAAAAAATTGCAAGCAACTTTGCCTTCGATTTTGCCAAGAAAAAAAATGACGATCTGAGTTTAAGGAGTCCATGAAATAATAATTCGGCAGCAGTCCCACAATAACAAGAAACTTCTCTTAAAGAAGGTGATTTCGATTTGTTCGACATTATGAATGAGTGGAGAAGCTAATACCCACATCAATGAGTGACCTTCAAAGGAGCAGCCACAAACACTTCAAGATGTGAAGAAGATGAGACCCAATTCAAGATAGCTTCAAAGGAGTGAGCTTTATATGCAAAAAGGGGCAAACAAATTAAGAGAAAAAATCGACAGGTTCTGTCTAAGGGAAAGAAGAAGAGAAATAGAAGAACGAGGATAAAAGTTAGAGCTTTGATAGGAATAATATATATAAAATAATCATAATATGGAGTATAATAATAATAATAATAATAATAATAATAATAATAATAATAATAATAATAATAATAATAATAATAACAACAACAACAAATCAACATGTATTTCTCAGGTTCACGCGCCATTTCCCACGCATTGTGCCATTCACTTGACAATGTGTAATTAGAACAGATATGGTTTAATTGGAGTGCCTCATAGGAACAACCTTATATTTAAGTGTCCAAGTGACAAAAAGTGTCAAGTTTAAGGGCCCACTTATGTATTCTCCCAAAGAAAAAAGGAGATTGTTGGGTCCATCCCCATAATGAAGAATCTGCAAGATGCCAAATATGGTAGACACTTATGTGATTTGCAAATCTGTAGAGAGAAAAATGTCAAATATAGTAGGCGTGAGAGAGTGAGGCTCCGCCTATAAAAGGACAGTTTCGGCTCTCATCTCTACACACCAACAAAGAGAGAAAGAAAGAGTAAGGCATCACAGACAGGGTATAAGAAAATAGTTTGTGAGAAAAATAGAGAGTGAACGATATTGTAGTGGGGTGGGAATATCAAAAGAGAGTTATTTCTTTTGAGTGTTGTAGTGGTCTTTGGAGTATTTTACTCGGGAATATAAAGTATAAAATTCCTTGCTATAGTGATATCAGTTGCTCGTCTCGAGGCCGTGATTTTTTTTCCTTATTCAAAAGGGTTTTCCACGTAAAAATCTTGGTGTCGTTGTCACTCTTTTATTCTTTTTAATTACCGTATCTCGGTGCTACGTTATTATTTCACTTTTATTACTGTGAATATTATTTCTGTAGGAGGTTTATTCCCAACAACTGATATCAGAGCACATGTTCTGCTTGTTCACAGAAATACTATTCAATGTCAGTAGTACTATACTCGGTGAAAAATAAAAATGTCCGGAGTAAAGTACGAGGTAGAAAAATTTAACGGAGATAGCGGTTTCTCAACATGGCAAAGAAAGATGAAGGATTTTCTCATCCAACAAGGATTACACAAGGTACTAGATGCTGATGCCAAAAAGCCTAATACCATGAAAGCTGAGGATTTGGCTGACTTGGATGAAAGGATTGCTAGTGCAATCAGCTTGCACTTATCGGATGATGTGGTAAATAACATCATTGCATGTGGCATTTGGACGAGGCTGGAAAGCCTATACATGTCCAAAACGCAGACAAATAAATTATACCTGAAAAAGCAGTTATACGCCCTACACATGGGTGAAGGTATAAATTTTTTGTCACATTTAAATGTGTTTAACGGACTAATCACACAGCTCGCCAATCTCGGAGTGAAAATCGAGGAAGAAGATAAAGCCATCTTGTTGTTGAATTTATTGCCATCTTCGTACGATAATTTGGCAACAACCATCCTGCACGGTAAGACTACCATTGAGTTGAAAGATGTCACATCGGCTCTTCTACTCAATGAGAAGATGAGAAAGAAGCCTGAAAATCAAGGACATGCTCTCATCATAGAAGGTAGAGGCAGGAGTTATCAAAGGAGTTCGAGCAACTATGGTAGATCCGGAGCTCGTGGAAAGTCTAAGAACCAATCCAAATCAAGAGCCAGAAATTGCTACAATTGTGATCAACCAGCTCACTTCAAAAGAGATTGCCCAAATTCAAGGAAGGGCAAAGGTGAAAGCAGTGGCCAGAAGAATGATAATGTTGTCCTTTTCATAAATGAGGAAGAGGAATGCATGCACTTGTCAGGTCTAGATTCGAAATGGGTGGTTGATACAACAACATCTTACCATGCCACACCGGTAAGAGAAATGTTTTGCATATATGTAGCAGGTGATTTTGGAACTGTAAGAATGGGTAACACGAGTTACTCAAAGATTGCAGGGATCGATGACATTTGTATCAAGACAAATGTCAAATGCACATTAGTTCTAAAGGACGTGCGGCATGTACCTGATTTGCGGATGAACTTGATCTCAGGAATTGCTTTAGATCGAGATGGATACGAGAACTATTTTGCAAATCAAAAGTGAAGACTTACCAAGGGATCATTGGTGATTTCAAAAGGGAGTTGCTCATGTCACATTGTACAGGACAAATGCAGAAATATTCCAAGGTGAATTGAACGCGGTACAAGATGAGATTTCTGCAGATTTGTGGCATAAACGAATGGGTCATATGAGGGAGAAGGAATTTTAGATTCTTGCCAAGAAATCACTAATTTCTTATGCCAAAGGTACAACGGTAAAACCTTGTGACTACTGTTTATTTGGTAAGCAACATAGA